TTCACTGGTGTATAAATTACTTAGGTTGCTACCAGAGGAGAAATAGGAAGAGGAGTCAAGAAAGGATAGATAGATACTACTTAAGAATAGGTTTTTAAAATAAAGGCAGTATATAAAAGTTTAAATGAGAGCAATGATGGTAGGGATAGAGAAGACAGATTTGAGAAATATGTATAAAGGATATAAGTTTGAAGAGACTTGGTGAGTTCAGTTATAAATAAATGAATTTAAGTAAACTGGAATGTTTAGGTGAAGGCAGTGACCTATACGAGTCTGAAATTCAGGAGTGAGGTCTGAGATGAAGATATATATTTGGGGGTTGGTGCTAGTTTAAACCACAACAGTATAAGTGATTGTTTGTAGAGAAAGTATGTACAAAAGTGGGTCAAGGATGAAACCTCAGGGAATACCAACAGTTAGGATGCTTCTCTTAAGAAAATCCTTTGAAGACAAGTGATTGAGGAGAAATTGGTCAGGGAAGAGGGAGGAGAGAATTTCAAGGTGAAAGTGGTTGATATAGTTAGGATGCTTCTCTTAAGAAAATCCTTTGAAGACAAGTGATTGAGGAGAAATTGGTCAGAGAAGAGGGAGGAGAGAATTTCAAGGTGAAAGTGGTTGATATCAAATGCAACAGAAGGGAGGCTCAGGGGTTTACCCCTGGGCTCCTCCTGCCAAAAAAAAAAAGAAAGAAAGAAAAAGGCAACAGATGTATCCAAGATGAAAACTGAAAAGATAAACTTTAAATCTGGCAATCAGATCATTACTTGTGATATCTGCAAGAGTAGTTTCAGCGGAATGACAGTGGGTTAAAGGATCACAGTGAGTTGCAGTGAGAAGGTACAAAGAGCAAGTGTAGACTATTTAAAGAAATCAGGATGAGAACCACAGGAGGAACATGGAGCTCTCTCTAGAGATGAGCTTGTTTTCCTATTTTTTAAAAGTTAAAAGAGACCTGACAGGGAAGAAGATCAAAGAAGAGCCTGTAGAGAGGGAGGAACTGAAACTACAGGACAAAGAGCAGACAAACGAGGGAGCCAGGTCTCATAATATTGTTTCTGAGCATCTCCACCTGGATGTTTCATCCCATCTCAAACACCACAAGTCTAAGAGTGCACGCTGATCTCACCCTGCAACCCGATCTTTTCAACACTATTTTCCATTTCAGTAAATGGTACTACCATGTCACCCAGTGCTTAAGAAGCCTAGAACTTATCTTTGACCCCTCCTTTTTCTTCACTTCCCACACATAATCAATATAATTTCTACCCTTCAATACTTCTCAAAAGTGTCAACTTCTATTTCTATCATTATTACCTTGGTTCGAGATACCATCATCTCTTATTTGTATTATTGTAATAGGTTCCTAACTGGCTTCACTGCATCGGCCTTCTCCCTTTTGATTTAGTCCTCAAGTGAAAATCAGATTGTCCAAATCTGATCATGTCATTGCTCTGCTTAAAAATCCTTAATGGTTTTCTGTCATCTATTTTTATATCTACTATATGAACTTACACCTGTTTGTCTCTCTGGCCGTTCTCCTTTGCTCTCTCCACTCCAGCTCTATCGGCCTTTTCTCTTGGCATATTCCCTTCCCATCTTGAGGCTTAACTCCTCCTCATCCTTATAATCTTGTCTTAAGTGTCATGGCACCAGAGAGGACTATGTTGCCCTGTTGTACATCTACAGAGTTCCCTGTCTTTCTTCGTCAAGGCACTTGTCACAACTGTAAGTCATTGATGACTTGTGCAATTACTTAATGTCCATCTTTCCCACCAGATTGCAAACTTCTGGGGGATGCAGGATGGAGTGTTTCTTGTATAAATGCCATATTCTCCTGTGCCTGGAAAAATGGTAGAATCAATATAATTTCTTGAATGAGAAGAATAAATGAATAAAAGATTAACTTTGAGCAAGAAAAGGGACATTTCCTTCTGATGCTAGAGGGAACAAAGTAAGGTGAGTACAAATGTAGATAAGTTGAAAAGTAATTACGGTAGCACCAAGATTAAAGAAGAAATGAGCAGTTGGGAGAATTCCCACCTTGTGGCCCCAATTTTCTTGCACTGGCAGTGTGCTAGAGCGGGTGGACAGTGTTTGAGTAGAACATGGCTAAAGTTTGAAGTAACTGCTGAAGGAAGAGAGGAGAAGAGGGAGGAACTTGACCAGAAGTTAGTAAAAAGACTGTTTCTGTGATTGTAGTGAGGGACAACTCTACACAAAGGTGGAAACCACAAGATAAAACTTATTAAATCAATTGAAATCAGAGAATGGATTTTCTGTAAAAGTCTACATATTATCAACTTTATTCTTTCAAGAACATAATAGTGCCTGACTTGACTAATAAAACTTTGCCAGTAGAATTTATATATAAGGTTAAGAATAACTTACAATGAACAAGTAATTTGATTCTTCAAAAATATCTGAGATAAGTGACATTTTTTTGTTGTTATTTTAAATATTTAATTATTTATCAACTTTATTCTTTCAAGAACATAATAGTGCCTGACTTGACTAATAAAACTTTGCCAGCAGAATTTATATATAAGGTTAAGAATAACTTACAATGAACAAGTAATTTGATTCTTCAAAAATATCTGAGATAAGTGACAACATTTTTTTGTTGTTATTTTAAATATTTAATTATACAATTTATTCAGCAAGTTATTTCTTTACAGAAAGCATAAGGTAAATAACCTGTTCTTTAGTTGATTACAACAAATTTCTTACAACCATATTAATGTTCTATTGGTTCCCCTAGCCAATAAGTAAGAAAAAATATTAAACTGCACAAAAATCTCATCCAATGTGCAATTCCTCTCCACATCCAGCAATGTATCAGAATTAAAATAAATAGCTTTTGAATTAAGAAGCTTTTGCTTATTAATTATTAAGCTTTTGCTGCTTAATAGTAACTAACCATGGCTCCTTGGAGAAAATAAAATCCCAGGCTCACCTTCCTACTCTCCCTCCAGGTGGTGCTATAGCTACAAGTGGAGAAGAACTAGCTTGAGCAAAGACAGCTTGCCTTGTAGCTGTTGCTGCTGTTATTATTATTATTATTAAATAAAACAGCTTTATATGCCTTATTTTTTGGTGTTTCCTTTTCCACCAAGGCTCACATTATTCCATAATGCTTTCTGAGTAGCTGAGATTCCAGCACTATGAGGCAAATATGAAAATTCTCAGTAGAATGACCAGGAATACTTCAGCAAGATTGTGAAAAAAGTTCTAGCACTTTTGGAAGGAGTGACTTTGACTAAGGCCTAAATACAGTGATTAAGGACCAATGTGCAAACTAACCTTCACTATGGACACATCTTCATACAGCAGGTACACAGGTAGGAAATGTAATTGGCAAGAAAACTTGAGAAAATAAGTATTTAAATTTTATTTTCATATCCTTAAAGCCTTATAAACTTCTGTGTACCATTCAAGACTGTGTCTGCCTTAGTTTCAAATTACCTATGAGATATTTGATTCTCCTTGACAAACTGTTCATTCTACACAACTGAAAATCTCCATAATTGATGCTTTTAATTTGGTTGATTCCAACCATCTCAGAAAAAAGTAAAAATGGAATAAGTTTTTAAAAGCTCAGCATTTATTTGTTCACTGAGCTCCACCAATGATCAGTGGAAAAACTTCCTATATTTGCCCAGGATCCAAAGATTCATGTGTATTTTTCTGGAGTTTGGTAATTAAACTGCTAAATCTCACACACACACCAGCCAAAAAAAAGAGGGGAAAAAAAGTTCTTTTGCACTCCCCTTCAAGGAAAATAAGTGTCCATTCTCTTCTTGCTAGATCTCCACTACATTTTTTCCCCTGCTTCCACTCCCCCAGATCCCAAACCAGTGCTGTCCTTCTAGCTCTCCATCATCTGTCAATGAAAGTCTAAAGCAGCATTAGCCAAAAGTGTGCTCCCCTTGATTCAAGATTATTTGCATTTTTAAAGGGGCCCTTTCAATATAGAAAAGTCCTTCAATGAACTATTAAGGGTATATTGATATTCAGGGGTATATTCAGGGGTAGTGGGATGTTTTACTTTGGCATAGAAACAAGTTAGAGAAAAGGATAAAAGCTACCTTAGTTCTTTCCACCAGTGTCCCTAACTACAAATCTAATAGTGGGCTCCATTAATCAACTCAACGTCAAGAATCTTTAAAGGACAGCTATCTAACTCCTGCCTGTAAAAGTTTTGTTTCCTAAGTGCCCAGCACCCAAAATCCATCCATGAAGAATCTACTTCTCACAAAGAAGAGAGTAAAGAACTTAGTTACCTCTTTGGACAGGCCACTAATCTCTGACCTTAACCCTCAAAAATTGAGGCCAGAACAGTTCATTTGCAGACCTTACTTACACCTGAAATTCAATACATCAAAACAAACCATCTATTAATTCGCACCTGTGAACCCAGACTTTGGAGAGGCTTTAGAAATCACATGGTACAAACTTCTTGTTACATATGAGCAATGTGAGACTCAGGAGTACAGTGACTTGTTCAAGGCCACATAGTTGATTAATGGTAGAACCCACTTCATTATTATTTCTACCACCCCACTGACTCTTCTTACTTTGTTAATGTAGGGATGTAGTCATCATATAACTCTGTACATTTTTCATGGATAGACCTCAAATCTATAATACCATTCTTGAAATTTATGCCAAGATTTCTTTCCCATCTCCTAGAATTCTATAAACATGTATTTATTTTATGAAGTTGTAATAAAATATTCTTCCATGTTTATGGACTGACTTTAAAAAAGTTAATTTTAAGATCAATAAAATATAGATTATAACATACAGTTCATGAGAAAGTTATTAAAACTACTCATGTCTTGTTTACAAGCTCACAAAACTAGGTTATCAGTGTTTTTCATCCTCTACAACAGGTTCTAGAAAAAACACAAATCCAAAAATTTCCTCATTTGAGAAAATACTACTCTAATCGTTAAAAAAATAGTTTAGCTGCACAAATGAAATAAGTTTATCATACATACTTAAAGCTCTAGAATGATCCGGATTCCTTATTCCCTTTGCTCGTAACCTCTGAAGAAGAACTGTTGAGGACAACTGTTTTACAAGATATACTGCCATGGAATAGTTCTGGAAAAAACAAAAAGTAGAAAACAAACAACATATGTAAGTAAACAGCACATCTATTTTAATCTCACAGTGATAGGGAAAGAAAACTAACACTTCTTAAAACACCTATTGTGTGGCAAGCACTATCTTAGGTGTTTTCATGAGCAATAATTCATTTAATCCTTATCGAAAGGCTGCTGAGGTGGTCATAAATCTGTTTTTATAGATGAGGAAACTGAAGTATAGAGAAGTAAAAAAAAAAGTACCCTAATTTTGCATCAAATGACAAACTCAGACTTTAAACCCAGGTCTATCATGCTTCTATATTACCTGACTACCTATACTTGAAGTCAAGTAAATTTAAGGCACTTATATGAAAGAACACCGTTAAGACTAAATATAAACCAAGGCTATTAAGATGTCAAAGTTATCATAAACTCTATCTAGTAAGTAATACATATATCTAAAATAAATAGTAGTTATATAAAAAATTACAAATGAGATTGGCTTCCTAATCTATTACATTTTAACCTCTCTCTATGCCTTCAACTAGCTCTTGAAAAAAACCCTACTTGGGCCATTATCACAACAATCAGAGGGAATATTAAAGAAGGTAACTAGCTCTTGAAAAAAACCCTACTTGGGCCATTATCACAACAATCAGAGGGAATATTAAAGAAGGTTTTTGAAGAGAAGCTAATGGTTTGGCAAATGAATAGATGAATACCCATTACCAGCAGAAGGAGTACCCAGAGACGGTAGTGGCAGAAGTGTTCAAAGAAAACAATTATCAATAAGCCAAGACTTAATGAAGGGCACATGGTTAGATAAAAGGAAGAGGGCTGATGCTTATGAAGGGTAGCAGAGAAATCTAAACAAGAAGGACCACTTTCCATTTGGTGCTGTGATCTACTTCCCATTTGGTGCTGGAATCAAGAGGTAGATCAAGAGATGTGAAAATAAACAAAAGGAAAAATATTTGCTGCCATCAAAGCTTCACACAGTTTTTGAAGCACTCTTATCATATACTACCTACTTCAGTTAAACCTTGCAGAAGGCCTATAAAAGATAGGTAGGATAGGTATTTTTGTAAGTGAAGGGTTGATAAAACTGAGACACAAAAGGATTATGTAATCTGCTCTTGATCATGAAACTGCCTGGTGACAGAGCAGGCACTAGAAACCAAGAAGAACGAGTAGGGATATCAAGACAAGGGACTTAATAATCAAGGCCAGTGTAGTTCTCTACAGTTCTTGCTTTCAAACATCCTATTGCTTTGAACCTCCTAATCTAGTCTAATGCACATTCCAACTTTCAGTTAATTTCACACTTTTGAAAATGCATTCCCCTCATTTGGCAACATGAGAAAATATCCAATAGTATCCTCTAGGAGGTCAAATTTTCACTTAAAGTTCAGAAACCTACCCATGTTCACATGCTATACATTTTCTGGGCAAAAAATGAAGTGTCAAAAAAGCTAACTTACTTTCATTAACAAATTTCACAATATATTAATGAGAAACAAGCAACGTTACAACTTTCCTAAATTTTACAGGATCTAAAAAAGAACTGAAAATCTTTTAGGAAAAAAAACTTTAGAAACCATTCTCATTATTATTTATTTGCTTAGTGCTTCAAGAGTGTGATATAAACTGGAGGAATGCTAATTAACACTGCGGAATTATGTACTGACAGCTTGAATCTTCAGAACTTGAAATTACCCTAAGGCTTTATATAAATATTTAAGAAGAGATCAAGTAGAAACCACAACAACAAGTTAGTGGAAGGTATGTTCACTCTAGTTGAAACATGTAACCAAACAGAAGAAAGGAAAAAAAAGCAGCAAAAAGAATGTCAGGTCTTAACAAACGCCACTTGTATTAATAATATGAAATTAAATTTTACATACAAAAGAGGCTCAGCTGCAAAAAACCCCCAAACTTAATAGTGGCATAGTATTTGTTCTAGGTTGACGATATTATATTGTTCCTGCTAACCATTCAAAGTGGTACCTAACTCCAACTATTGAGATATATATATTAATTTCAAAAGTCTTCAGAATTGTTTATTATGTTCATGAAACACTTTCTCCATAATTAAAATATAGTCTATTTATTATATGCCCTTTACACCAGTACCTAAATAATTTCTCTACAAATAATGAGTTTAATAAATACTAAGTGTAGTGATTACTCTGAGGTAAGATAAGAAGTTATAATATAGTTCACTTATTTCCTTCAGGTACTGTACTGGCTCTTTGAAAAGACATACTTATAGCATTTCTCAGTGGCAACCAACCATAAAAAGTTATATGCAAAATAGTAAAGAGATTCTACGTGAACTATTCAATCTTCACAAGTTGAATTAAAAGTGATCAAAAAATAATCTAATAAGTTATCTTCTGGGCTTTGGAAAAGATTACTTTTCTTTCAATGTTTTACTTCAAAAAGGTCTCCAACTTGTCAACCTTCAAATCTCTGTGGTTTGGAAGGCTCCCCATGAAAGAGTATCTCCCTCACTCCTCTAGTGCTACATATCAGTGACCATATTTCCCTCCACTCTCACGGTTTCAGACTCCTTTCATTTGTCACCCAAAATATTCCCTTCCTTCTTGGTGGGCTATACTTTTCATACACAAAACCAAAACAAACATTTTCAACACTCTCTTCAAAAAGGGGGAGAAGGGAACTCCAAGGTACACTAAAAGTAAAACATTTAAAAGGATTTTAAAAACTTAACAGTGACACATAAATCAAAGGAAATGTCAAAAAGGATTTTGATAAAATTAAAAATCCCTTTCTATGGGCCGGCCCGGTGGCGCACTGCTACAGTGCGCCGCTTGGGAGCGCGGTGGCGCTCCCGCCGAGGGTTCGGATCCCACATACAGACCAGTTCCCGCTCACTGGCTGAGCGAGGTGCAGGCGCAGCACCGAGGGTTGCGATCCCATTGCCGGTCCCGGTCCGGGCACAACACTGAGGGTTGCGATCCGTTGCCGGACCCGAAAAAAGACAAAAAAAAAAAAATCCCTTTCTAACAAAGATATAGAAATACACCATTGAGGAGTTCCGGTCAAGATAGTGGGATAGATGGTCCCTGGTGTCATTCTCTCCCACAAATCAACCATTTACAACTATAAAAATGTAACACCAGCCTAGCTGGGGCCGCTGGGGCCGCTGGGGCTCACGTGAAGAGGAGGCGAGACCTACAGAATTCATAAAGGCAGGAGAAACGACGATGAAAGAACAAATTGCTCTCAGCGTTTCGGGCTACAGCCTCTTTAATGCTGGAGCACATGGAGCAGGAGCCGGCAGAAGCTACAGCTGTGCCCTTAAGATAGAGTTACTTGGAGATGGAAGGGGAGAAGAGAACTTTGGTGGCCCCCAGGACAGCAAGACCACTAATAGGGTTCCCGTGGACAAACGCAGGAGCGAGGAGCCAGAACAGCTGAAAAAGGGGAGCCATTCAGAGGCTGGTGAGTCAACGCAAGAGACCAACGCAGGGCCCATCACATGGAAAGTGTTTTGGGGAGGACGGGGGGGGAGATAGGCCCACCAGGAGAACATTGGGCCACCGCAAGGACAGCCAATCCACCCCCCAATCAGCACAGGACCACTCAGAGGAGACTGGTCGAGAAAGCAGAATTGCATGGGGTGCAGTATGATGAAAAAACTCAGGCCCAGATCAGAGTTTCTAACACAACCCAGGTGCACCGAGTATCTGGAGAGCCGGAAGTACCTATAAGGTCAACCATTAAACCCTGAGCTGCACAAAAAGCCTTCCCTATGGAAACAGCAGCAAAGCAGCAATTTAGCTCAACCACAATACTCAAGTACTGGTTCCCACAGGAAGTTCCCCCCTGTTAGAAGTAA